AATGAATGTCACCCAATAGCTATTTACAGTCCTGACTCCAGAGAGGTTGGAAACTGCCTGCTGATGGCAAACTGGAGTGAAAAGGAGTTTTCATTGCAAGCACGCCAGCCTGTGATGGTCCCCAGTGATATCTCAGCTTGGCTTAATCAAGCTGCGCTTTTACCTTGCTTTTACCTACCTGTGGGTAGTGAGAGGCATGCAGAGATCCTGAGATACCCCAGGCATCAAACGGGTATCTTTGCATCTGAACATGGATTCAAAGAGCAAAAGCCCTGTGTGTGAATGTCCTTCAGAAAAGACCAGGAGTGACCCCATTCCTTAGGGGGAATTTGGTGTGAATGAGAGATGTGCTGAAAGGGGTTTTTTCCTCAATTGGGAGTTCTGCTGGGTTAAGAGAGTGCCTGGCACCAGCCTACTGCCATTCATTTCTTCCCTCAGCCAAACCTAGTCACACCTCACAGCCATGCCAGAGCTCTGGAACTCATGTTTATTCATGAAGGAAAGTTATTCTCTGCTGCTTCCTAGATAAGCTTTGACCGTGTATTTGCTGTAAGTGTAGATAGGACTCAAATAAATGTTTTTTGCGCTCTATTCTGCCAGTTCTGCAAACCACTGTATACCTGTGCCTCATGATGATTGACCTGTTTTCTGTTTATTAACCTTTTAAAGGGAGAGGAAATGAGGGGCCTGAGCTTTGATTCATGTTTAGCGGAAGCAGTGGAAAAGGTTACCACCTTCTGCAGCTGCGGTGGGATTTCCTCACCCACTGCAGCCAGGACTGTGTCAGTGGTCTGCGGCCACGTCTTCTGAGTCAGAACCTCTTAGAAGAGGGCTCTCCAAAGCCCAGCTGAGGCTGATGCAGCCCATGGGTTCCACTTGGGGCGTTTGGCTTGCAAAAAGGGAGGCTGAGCTGCTGGATGTAAAGATTTGAGCTCCTGCGTGTGGCCGACGGCCTCCAGCCCGTTCCTTGAGCAAGACTTCAGGACCCCACTTCAAGAGGGAGAGAGGTGGCTGCTAGTAATTACACTAATTGCGTGGCTTATAGTGCAATGATGAGCAGTTTGATCTGCTTATCTGAAGGAAGGCTAAAAGGCAGCTTCTTTAGACTCGTGAAGGATTTCTCCTTGCAGCCCTCCAGAAGAAAATATTTGGCTCCAGAGAGCACTTCATGATCTACCAGGCACCTGCAAGACAAAGCTGAGTGTCTGGAAGTCACAGTTAAAATAATTGAAAAGGAAAAGACTCTCTTTCATATATATATATATATATATACCCACACACACTTATAATGACAAGAGTTTAAATAGCGTACCTGATTACCCAGGGACACGGTAAATGCTACTCTCTTGAAAAGTCACACACTTATTTTTATATTGCTTCTCCAGACTCCCTTGTAATCCTTTCCAAAGCAAAGCACAGCCCTTGGCAGTGCATATTCCTTGGCATTCGGTAACAAACAATTGAGCAGAGCAGCACTTTTAATTGAAATGGACTTGAAGGGTAGGTGTATTCATGGCTCATTTGCACCTGCTGCCTTGGGTAGGATTGAGAAATACCTTTACCTATCTTCCTGCAGATACTGAGTGCAAGGGAGAAGACAACATTTATAATTAATTAATGGAAAAGCACTTAGCAATCACCAAACATGATTTGATCAGGCAAAACAATTTGTCATCTTTATTACATCCATGAAGACCAAGTGATGCCACAGGGAAGAGAGGGATTTCCTTTTTCAAAGGCACATTGCAGCTGTTTCTGCCCTCAGATACTTTTCTTAGGTATTGATCTGTCATGCTGAAATGACTGAATATTGCCTGCCAACCCCCTGATCCCAGCAGTTTGCCAGGGTAAGGTCTATCAGATTTGGAGAAAGAAAACCATTTTTTGGAAGGTTATCTGATAAAGGTTGTCTGTGTCCTGGTTTGGATGGACAGGCATAAACTTTTGCCTTGTTTTGTAATGGGATGACTATAGATAGGGTGAGCAGCAAGTGTTGGACTGCAAATGCAAAGCATCTTGGAGGTATCAATCTTTGTATCATTCCAATTCATTAAACTCGAGTTACTCATGCACGTCCTCTTCTAGTCATTGGAGAGAAGAGGACACTTCCAAAGAATGATTCATTTTCTGAACTTTAGATAACCATCCTACAGCAACATGAACTGCCAGCCAGAGCTCTGGTTTCCGTTGGCTTCTTTAGGTTTACAGGTCTGGCGTTGAGATGCATAGATTTCGGTATATGAATCCCACCTGTAAAACCTGGACCTTTCCAGGCAGCAGCACAAATATTGTCAGCACGTTTTGGGGGGGTCAATAAGGAAGAATGGTGTTGGAACAGCTAATAGGCAGATATGAGAGGTCTTTACAGGGGCAATAATTTTTAAAGATCCGCTTTGTGTGTCTTGCAAGGCCAGTCTTGTATGTCTTCACTTTATTTTAATCAAAGAAAGCTTTTGTTACAAAAGTGAACACCTAAAAGCTTTTTTAATGCATCACAGGTGGTGGTGAAAAATGCTCACACAGAAAAAGACACATATCACAAAAAATCTCAAAGCATGTAATTCAGGACATTTAAAAAGCCATCTGATTCTATCACCTTGTATTTTATTTTGCATTAGAACCTGTCATGAGGTAATAGGTGCACTACAATTTATTGAGGATGATGGAGGAAAAGATTGTAGAACGTGAAAGATCCTCTCATGAAATCCTCTGTTTTCCATGGGCAGAATATCTAATATCTTAACACTTTTGGAGCTGCTGGCTGGTGGCAGATAAGTATGATGCTGTGGAAACTGAGCTTTGCACCTGATATTAGAAACCTGGAAACTGAATTTTAATGAATGCTACAGAAGAGCGTGCATGAAGAAGATACCGTCAGTTATTCATTTTTCAGGCTCCGATAAACTCACCTCAAGACTTCATTTGAAAAGTTCTGTTTGCTCATGAAAGAAGGAAGGAAAAACCCGTAAAATAACTTTGAAAGAGAGCTGAGGGTTCTTTTTCAGCTTCAAAGCATTTCTGTGTGCTCTCTTTATTGATCTGAGACAGCGTGCTGCCTCTGTCTGAACAGACTGATGATGACACCAGCCTTTTTCTTAGCTCAAGTAGTAAAAGATGATTTAAAGGAGGAATTTCAGATTGGGATATAATTACCAAGAAATGCAGCTTGACAGTGGTTCTCATAGTTTCCTTTGCTTGCATGTGAAAAGTATTTTCTCAAAGTTTTCTTCTTCATATTCTAGTTTCCCTTGTTAGGCTGTTGACCTTAACAGCAAGGCGCTAATGACATTTGGGGAAGTGTTACAATCCAATGGGGCAAGACAAATAACCGAGAGCAGAGGTGCTATAAAAAAGTGGGGTCTGTTGATAACCCATCTATCTAACCTAGGCAGCAATTGAAATGCCTGTCTGTTGGAAATTTAAAGGGGAAAAAAACTGTTTTCAAAATTCTAGTAAGAACTCTAAAATATGTAAGACGTTGTCGTGGTTTAACCCCAGCCAGCAACTAAGCACCACGCAGCCGCTTCCTCACTCCCCCCCATCCAGTGGGATGGGGGAGAAAATCAGGAAAAGAAGTAAAACTCCTGGGTTGAGATAAGAATGGTTTAATAGAACAGAAAAGAAGAAACTAATAATGATAATGATAACACTAATAAAATGACAACAGTAGTAATAAAAGGATTGGAATGTACAAATGACGCGCAGGGCAATTGCTCACCACCAGCCGACCGACACCCAGCCAGTCCCCGAGCAGCGATTCCCTGCCCCCACTCCCCCCAGTTCCTATACTAGATGTGACTTCCCATGGTATGGAATACACTGTTGGCCAGTTTGGGTCAGGTGCCCTGGCTGGGCATGAGAAACTGAAAAATCCTTGACTCTAGTCTAAACACTACTGAGCAACAACTGAAAACATCAGTGTTATCAACATTCTTCACATACTGAACTCAAAACATAGCACTGTACCAGCTACTAGGAAGACAGTTAACTCTATCCCAGCTGAAACCAGGACAGATGTTGAGGCAAACACACATTGGATTTTTTTATTTTTTTTTAATTCAGGTCTGCCAACTCCTTTTGGCTTCAGTGCTAACGTTACATTACTCAACAGTGCAGCATGTCTGTGATATCATTAATGTCTTTTGAGAATGCAGAAATAAAAGGACAAAATCAGAACAACATATTATAACTCTGTAGGAAGGACATGCAAAGTTTTTTCTCCAAGAAAGTTTTTATTCTATCCAGAAAATCTTCAGAAATGCTGAATTTTAATAAAATCCTATGTTTTCTCCCTGAAGTTAGCTCCATTGGTGGTTATACCTTCATTCCTAGCTTGGATTGCTGGGAGCGTACCACCTTGCACCACCCTTCCATGGAGAGCATCTCCTGACAGCACTGTCCCTCCTCAGCCTCCAGGAGTGTTTTGTGCCTTCTCCCTTTTTAAAGAGAAAAACTGCTTCTGGGGAAGGGATTTGGCTCCTGATCCCTTGATTGTCATCAGTGTCCCCTTCCTCCTGAGCACATCCCCTGCACAATCATCTCACTTCAAGGGGAAGAAAAAGCTGGTGACAGAAGTTTGGGGGAAGCAGAGAAGGAAGGGGAGCATGTCTCACATGTTCAGACCAGGTGTTTTAGTGCAACAGGGAGAGATAAGAGCAAGGAAGAGAGATATTTAATTAGGCATTTCTGCCTTTTTCATCTAAAAAATGCACTGTTCTGTAGTAACTCTGATGTGCCCAGTTCTTGCACTGATCTGCTGTTCTTTCTGTACCAATTTCTGGAAAATTGCAGACACCACCAGTGCTCAATTTCAGGGACTGGGAGAGCTGAAAGCAACCTCTTTAAAGAAAATATTTCTGTGCCTTTCCTCCCAAAAGGTGCCTGCACCAAGGTGATAGGCTCCACAGGCTTTTGCACAGCTGCTCTGCCCCAATTCCTCCGCTCCATCCAGCAGATACCACTCGTGCTTGTTCTACCAGCTGCTTTTCTCTTTTCCCCAGGTTGCAGAAGGCAGTGGGACAACATCACGTGCTGGCCCGAAGCGGAGGTGGGAGAAGTTGTGGTACGGCCATGCCCGAAGTACTTCAGATTCCTCACCACCTTTCTCGGTAAGTGAAACCAGACGGCTCATCTCACTGAAATGGTTTTACGGCTTCACTGCCTGTGGGGTTTTACATCATATCACAGGGGAAGGTTCTTGGTATAATCAGAGGGAGAAACAAGCTCTTTACACAAGACAAAGGAGGTTTCCAAGCCATACATGAATGCCCAAACCGTTAGAGCATCCTCGCTATCCTTTTTGCAGCACCACGTACTACTCTGGATCATAGGGATGCGAACATTGCTCCTGGTGAAATCCAATAATATGGATGTTGCACGGTGAAAAATGAATCACCTTGTGTAATAGCGTGTTTCTTGTACAAAATGAACAGTTTAGCACTATAATTAATTAAGTCTCTGAGATAAAATAAACAAGCTGAAACTGTGCATAATAAAGTATTTTTCTGCTGAAATGGCAAATTTGGCCATGGGCCAAGAAATTAACCTGGCAAATAACGGGCAGGGAAGGTTAATGGAGAAAGTAGCTTAACTCACTCTTCAGGGTGTTCTGGGAAGCTTTAATTTAAAACTCAGATCTCAAGGGCCATGCAACAACAAGAGGACTCTGTCTCCGGGTAGTTTATAGTCATTATTTACCATTTTTATTATAGTAGCCCTGCAGACCTCCACCGAGAATTATGCTCTTTTGCACTGGAGATTATGCACCAAGCTGATAAGTGTCACTTTTACAGCCTTACAGTCCAAACACCTATGATAGATTTTGAATGGGAGTAACAACACAATACGATCCCTGTTTAACAGGCCAGGGCACAACACTGATTAACCAGCACACGCTGATTACATGACTTGGCCCAGGCCACACCAAAAATCTTTGCAGAAATTCAAAATCCCCAAAGTCCTACCCTAGTGCTGTAAGCTCCCTGTTTCCAGAACTCCCCAGTAGTTCATCATTGCTCTGTCAACACCCAGGGGAAGCAGGCAGAAGCTGCTGTAATTTAACATTTTGCAGGACAAGACCCCTGCACACTGGTTCAGCCATGTGGCATAATTGCCTGCTGTTGATGCTTTGTGCCCTATCCTCTCCTGAGCACAACGTTCGCTCACTGGGTTTTAGAGACCCAGCAGAGTTAGGGAAACAGGAAGAAAAAACTCTTTAAGAAGTTTTTCTACTACTTCATCCCACCAGGGCAGAGCAATGAGGAAAGTATTATATATGTTTGATCATATATATGTCATTGTGGCTGTGTTGAACTTAAGCTAATGAAAATGGGATGCCTTTAATTGTGTGGTAGGATGGGCTTATGGGACTCAATAAACTTGCCCATTGAGGGCAACTACTGCTTTCCAAGGTGTCCTAGGACATCCTGGTCTCCAGGTTCCCCTGCAGAATGGGGCAGTTCTCCAATAGTTCATGTGTCATTGGATCTCTCAGGTGCTTAAGGGTATCTCAAAAAAACTATGCTTAGGCGAGTGAATGGTCCCTATTCTGGAAGAAGTCCAGACTTCACCAAGAGCAAACGGTGTCACTTGGGCTCTCTGTGCACTTATCTCAATGTGCCAGGCCAAGAAAGAGCCTCAAACACAAGCCAACCCGTGACCCTTCCCAGAATACCCATGTTGTAATGTGGCTGCTGGCATTTGTGCTGTTCCGTGAGCAGTGAGCTCAGCAAATGTCATCTAGCCTCGCAGGCTGGCAACGTCAGCAGCCTTCTAGGGGGATTTCACATTGCTTTGGATGAGTTCCCTCGAGTTAAGTGTAGTTTTTTGCATCTGACTGTCATCCAAGGATTCCAGTCACTGGAAAGCTGGCTGGTTTGGTCAGTGATGGCTAGGGCATGATTCATCTCATCATAAATTAGCCACTTAAGGAGATCAGATGAACAGCACCATGAAAATACTTATTTCTCCTCACTTAGTATGGTAAAGCACAGAGTGACTTGCTTTGTTGGAGAAAGCGGATCCAGAGCTCTTTATTTCTGCTGTTTCTAATGCAGGTGTGTCTGTATGAGGTAGGTGTCTGGGATCCCATTAATATCAACAGTAATCTAGTTAGTGCAGCCAACAGACAACTATATGTAGGAACCTGAACAGCTCTTTAGATGTCATTTGCTGCATTAATAAATTTTCTGTTGAGTGTAGTAGAAATGCCGGCTCTAAACTCGCAGGTAGGCTTGCATGAGGGCTCCATTCAGTTTCCTAAAGATAAGCATCTGGTGCCATCTGAGATACTCTGGGGGATCTAAGAAATCCATGAGGATTCCTCAACCGGTGCTAAGATACCTGTATTTAGGAAAATAATTTCTAACCTGGAATGGCATTTAGAGTTTTCCATATGTAAACCTATCTCTGAGCTTGTTTTACAGTAAGTGATGAGAAATAGGCTCCTTAGAGGTGCAATTCAGCTGACTTTCAGATTTCAGCTTCAGGATGAATTGAATAACATTGATAAACCACATATTAACCAATAATCAATTGAGTGGCTCTGGCAGATGTGAATGTCTTACAATATGAGTGAATCCCACCTTTACAGAGCATACATGCTAGCATCTTCTTCTGTAAACAGAGAAACTGATGCCATTTCCAAAGCAAAAACAAAAGCTTTGATTTTCTCTGAGCTATGCACTTTGTACAATCATATACAAATGTGGAAAGCAGATATGGTCTTAAATAAAGGGAGGGTAAGATTGCCACTTGTGTTGCAGGATTTGTTGCAAAATTAATGCCATTAAAGTTTGTGAAGCAGCTCTTCCTGTGTAGTAGTGAGTATCATTGAATAGCCTTCAAGGAAATCAATCACCTGGTTAATGTTTATGTCTTACTCTTTGATCCCTTTGCAGGAACATGAAAGCTTATACCAAGTTGTGAGCAAGAGAAAATCTTTTTTATATTTATAGCAGGAAAAGGGTGAAATACTGGGAAAAAAAGAGTTAATGTGATTTTCCTGCCTAACAGAGAATATGCTCTTCAAATGACTAATATCCTGTCTCATGGTAAATAAAAGATAAAATATCTTGTGGCATTTAGAAACCTTAAAATGCCTAGCATAGTCCTGATGTCATTTGACATTAAATTTTTATGCCATTCACAAATCCAGAAGATTTTCATTATTTCCTGACATTCATCAGTACCATGTGAAGAGGAGGATAGATTAAAATATTTTTGACACCTTTTGTTATTAATGTCCATTACTTGCTATCCCTTGACCAGAGCGTTCCAGCTTTCTTTCAATACATGGAAGATAACATTTGTAATAGAGATTTGTTTCCCACAGTTGCTCCAAAAGCAAATTGTCCATTGTGCACATGTTAAACAGTAAAAATTAGCACTGGCAGTTTTTAAGCTTCAACTATGAGATTAATTGACTTAAGGGGGTGGGGATGGGAATAACCAAGCTCTGGAATCCCACTCAACGAGGTGAGCTCCTTCTGAGTTTCGGGCTTGCCAAACTCCTTTTTTATTCGGATGCTTTAAATTTACTTCTGCTTTCCTTTCCCCTCCCTCATAAATGCGTTTTACTTCTCTTTCCTGCTCCACTTCCCTTCCTTGTGCTTAGTGGGCCTACTGGCTGCGAGGACTGCAATTCATCATTAATTCTGAGATATTCCTATTTTCAAGCCACCTAGAACAGAGCTATCCGGATCCTGCCTCTCTGCAGGCGGGTAGTGCCACTTCTGGAGTCACCCAGGCACGGCAGCTTCCCTGTGTGGAGCTAAGCTCACCAACACGTGCGTGCGTTTGCGTAGTTCAACTCAAAATCCTTCAGTATTGGTCAAATGCATTGGAACAATACCAGCACTGTTATCAGATATCAGCCGTATCTTCCCACCTCTGAGAAGGTGAGAGTCCCCATTGCAAGAGTGAAATCAAGGAGGGAAAAGAGTAGTTTAAGCCAATATTTAACAAAAGGATGATGTGCAAACTGCCATGAATAGACTCACAGTAGAAACTGGAGGAAGATTCCAGTGGGAAGTAAAGGCTAACTTGGGAGATAGCTTTGATGAGCTTTTAAAGTGATTAGGTGATGTCAAGGATCCAGAACGTCTACTGGGCTGCTTCTGCGTGTTCTGACAGACCCGTGGCATTTCATATGCCGTGAGCCGAAGATACAGAGAGGGAAAGAGAGCGGACCGTGTCGCTCACTGACTGCCAGGAGGGTGAGGGACTCAGTTCTGCACCGGTTCACTGAATATTCAGATATAATTTGTGCATTATGAGCTACAAACGCAAGCCAAGACTTTAAATATTAGTGTCAGGTGAATCTGGAGTTGTCTCAGCAAAATTGTGCCCCATCTTTTGATTGTCATTGCTAAGAATGCTGTCCGTCTGGCTCAGGATATTTCCTGGCTTCAACCTGCTGCTCTTTGTCCTTTTTAGCAGTCCCAAATCCTACATGCTGAGAAGCAAATCCTCCAAGTCATATCTGGCTTTGGATATCCATGGGAGCAATGCTTTTACTGGCTACCTGGGGTCTTAGAAGGAGCACGAAGCTGTCTGTGCTTATTGTTGACAGCTTTTACATGCACTCAGTTTGTTAACCTGATTTCCATGGTGCTCATGCAGAAGTTTTTGTGCAGTTCTTCAGACCAGAATTAGGGTGGGATGGGACTCATGTAACCAGACTCCTGTGGCTAACACCAGCTACAAAAATCAGCAGTTGTGTTGTGTGTTACCTCTAAGGTACATACTCGTGCAGAGCAACACTGAGTGTTCAGGTATGCAATCTTTTCTCTTAAGTAGGAGTTTTGAAATGACAGGGGTATTTATCAGCAGTGATTCATGAAAACAGCAAGCTTTTCCTCTTCTACAAGGCGGTTGGGAAAAGTTCTAGGCTGCATGAGAAAGATGATTCAATCCAGTCAAGGGATTTATAAACTCTTTAATTTAAACAAGATCATATGTTAATCAAGTTGGGTTTTCTACTGATTTCAGCCTTGCTCCTTTCTGTCTACATGGTGCAGGTCATCAGGGTCAGTATCATCTAATGTTAGCTGTGTGAAAGCTCAACATTAAATCTAGCCAGATATATGGGTTTTCTCCTGCAGTAAAC